GAAGCCACTTAGTTTTCAGTATTTCTATCAAAGGAAAAGAAGCCTACTGTCTTGGTGTCAGAGGTTAGGACTAGCTGGCTATTTTTGTTTGCATTTTCTGCCTCAAACAGAACAGTAAAAACAGTCAAAATATTTCTTACTCAACGGAGCAGTCCTTTGCTCACATTGGAGAAGTTGGGTGCCCAGGTTGAAGACATCCATACCCTTACCACCCGGCCCATAGGCTTGGCTTCTGGGACTCTGATCTCTTTTGTCTCAAGCACTATCTCAAGCCTCATGGAAAATGTTCTGTGTTTATAAACACTGTGTTCGACAGAAATACCATGAAAGATTTAGGAGGCAGAGGGAGTACATGGACTCCATAACATTGGGAGCTGGAGGGGCTTCCTCAAATCACCTTTTCTCTTCACTTCTAAAGTCTCCATGGCCTCAGCATGCAGAGCATTTCATAAAAATGATGACAGGGATTCCGTGGAGGTAATGGGGTTGGGTGGGCAGTGGGTTTGATCCAAGCTCTGTCCTGGGAAGAGGCAGCCTCTCCAGCCCTGGCGGGCCACAGAATGGCAACATGGCGGCTTCCGTTTTCTACTCAGATAATTCTATTTATTTTCTACAGATGAACTCACTCTTAAGAAAAGATTATAATTGAAAACAATGACAAGACGTTCATATAACTGGTTTTCTTTTATCAGTAATTTTTGGATCAAGAGAGCCCTTTGCTGCTAGCATTTTAATGACATTTTGTAGGAAGATCTTTCGTGATATCAAGCCATACATTTCGTTTCCTGTGACAGGCCCTAGGTCTCAGCGCAGCTGACTCTGTGGTAGAAGTGCCACTCCGGCAGTGAGAGTCAGCTTGCAAACAGCACCACCTGACAAAATGAGACCTCTCCAAATCCATAGTGCTGGGAAAGTCTCTAAATATACTAACCTTGCTTTTTGGCGTCTGTAGTTCTGCTCCTGACCACACTGGGATTCCAAATACCCAGTGTATTTTCAGACTGCCCATTAAAGGCTTTCTATCGGCATAAACCCATGTCCAAGCTGTCTTCTCTAATGGATTCCCCAAACCATTCGATCTAAAAGTCTGCAATGCGGTGAACATAAACCGCACTATCATCAAGCCTCATGGGAAATGTTCTGTGTTTATAAACACTGTGTTTGACAGAAATACCATGAAAGATTTAGCAGGCAGAGGGAGTACAGGGCTTCCTTAACATTGGAAGCTGGAGGGGCTTCCTCAAATCACCTTTTCTCTTCCCTTCGGAAGTCTCCATGGCCTCAACGTGCAGACATCTTTCCTGTGCTCCTGCAGGTGTTTTGTCTTTGTTCCCTGCTGGGTCAGCACTACTGCTGGGTTTTCATTCACTGACTCCTGTTTCTTTCTTCTTGCTGTCTTCCTTCCTTCCTTTTTGTTTTTTGTTTGTTTGCTTGTTTGCTTTTTATTTTTTGGTTTTGGAGACAGGGTTTCTCTGTGTAGTCCTGGCTGTCCTGGAACTAGCTCTGTAGACCAGACTGGTCTTGAACTCAAACATCTGCCTGCCTCTGCCTCTGAAGTGCTGGAAATGAAAGGCATGCACCACCACTGCCTGGCAACTGACCACTGTTCCTTAAGATTCCCTCTCTTTTGTCCTAAACCCTCTCCATCTGTCAATTTAACTTTTCCACCTAGCTGATGTTCCTCCTGAATGACTTTGAATGGAATGGATGGTTGATGAGATTTAAATATGGGCTGAAACTCATGTAGAAATGTCACCTGCACTGTGAGACATTAAGCGGACAGAACCTTAATTTGACATATTTATGAGGTGAATAGGATTGATATCTTCAGGGCAGAGTGTCCACAATTAAGTACAGATGACTTTATAGAAGTAAAAGAGGCCTAAACACTGACATGGACCCCTGTCTCTCACCAAGATGCCCTGCCCTGGTTTGGAACTCTGCCAGCAGGGAGACCATTACCAGATTTAGTCTCCTGACTTTGGGCCCAAACAACCCTCTTTCCTGTACAATATACCCAGTCTGTGGCATTATGTTTTCAGGAACAGAAAACAGATTAGGGCAATGAATAACATCTAAATCTTTTAAGTGATAACTTTCTCTCGTCCCATCCCACACCCTCAACCCTATGTTACTGTGTACCCTGTAGGTGTTCTTGTAGGATCATCGCCTTACTTGGAATATTAAAACACTCTCGATACTCCTCATTCATGGTGATTTCATTCTTGCGATGCCCACATATCTTTTCTTCTCCACTTCCATGGCCACCACCCAGTCCAAGCCCTCAATCCATGTTCTGGTGCCTGGTTTTCGGTGTCCCCCTTTTCTCTTGTCCCTAATTCTTGACTAAAGATGTTTAACCAACACACACGCTGCTACCCTTCCTTAATCGTTCCTTTTTCTTTAGCAAGTTGTGTTTTAGGAGCCCAGAAATTAGAAAATGAAAGTCCTGGGCCCTGAACGCCCTGTGGACAGATGATGATCAGATCTGGGATGGCCAACTTGGCTGCCTTCCCTGCCCAGATCCAACACTCCCAGTCGGTCCACCCCAACATCTGGGCATTGCAATGCTACTTCAATGAACACATATTCAAAGGAGAGGTAGGACATATGGCGGAGGGATGCAGAACTAGAGATGCCATGGCAGTGACAGGTGTGGAAGAAGGATGCAATGAACAGTGAGCATGGCTTTGATAAGTAGGGCCCATAGGGTAGCATACAGCAGCCTGGAGCTAGCACAGTCGGTTTGAAACGGTCTGAGCCGGTTTGAACTGGCTGGAACTGGTCTGAACCGGCCTGAACCAGTCTCAAACTGTTTCAACTGGCTTGAGCCGGTCTAAGCCGGTTTGATCCTGCCTGAACCGGCTCAAACCAGTCTGAATGGGTCTCGACCAGTTCGAGCCGGTCTGAACCAGTCTGAACCAGTCTTGACCAGTTTGCTGCTTGAACCAGTCTGAACAGGTCTCGGCTGGTTTGAACTGCTCTGAACCAGCTTGAACCAGTATGCGCCGGCCTGAACCGGCTTGAGCCAGTCTGAACTGACTTGAACTGGCCTGAACCGGCTTGAACCGGTCTTGACCAGCTTGAGCCGGTCTGAATCGGTTTTGACAGGTTTTAACTGGTCTGAACTGGTCTCGACCATTTTGAACCAGCCTGAACTGGCTCAAAGTGGTCTGAAAAGGTCTCAACCGGTTTGTGCCAGTCCGAACTGGCTCGATCCGGTCTGAACCGGTCTCAGCCAGCTTGAGCCAGTCTGAGCCAGCCTGAACCAGTTTGGACCGGTCTGAACTGGCTTGAACCAGCCTGAACTGGTTTGAGCCTGCCCCCTACAGGCCTGAGCCGGCATGAAGTGGTCTCAACTGGTTTGAGCCAGTCTGAACCTGTCTGAACCGGCTTGAACCGGCCTGAACTGGTTTCAACCAGCTTTAACCAGTCTCCACCAGTTTGAACCGGTCTGAACCGGCTGGAACCGGTCTCAACCGGTCTCAACCGGTTTAAGAGAGTCTGAACTGGTCTGCACCGGTTTAAACCAGTCTGGACTGGTCTGAACCAGTTTGAACTGGTCTAGACAGGTCTTGCCAGTTTTAGTCAGTCTCGACCTGTCTGGATCGGCTTGAACCGGTCTGTGCCAGTTTGAAGCAGTTTGAACCAGTCTGAACCGGTCTGAGGCAGTCGGACCAAACATGTGCGGCAAAAATGACACGTGTGACAGATATGACATGCGTGGCAAAAACTACACACATGACGAAAACAACACGTGTGACACATACAATGTGCACGACGAGAAAAGCGCATGTGAAAGACACACCACGAGTGGCAGAAATGACACGCTGACATATATGACATGTGTGACAGAAACAGCACACATGACAGAAGTGGCAGTGTCAGACACGGCACCCGTGACAAAAGCGACACACGTAACAAAATGGCACACATGGCAAAAACAGCATGCATGACAAGTACGGCACGCATGAGATAAACAATGCGTGTGACCATTGCGACACATGTTTCTGATGCAACACACGTGACAAAAGCGGCATGCGTGACAGATACAGCATGCGTGATGGATACGACTCTTTCATCAAAGAGTTTTTCAGCATCTAATGATCTAATACGATCATGTGAATTCTTTCATTCAGTTTGTTTATATGGTGGGTTGCATTGACAGATTTTCCTATGTTGAACCATATTGTGGATGGTCTGTCTCAAAAAAATACTGGAAAACCAAATCCAAGAACACATCAGAAAGACCTTCCTCTCCTCCTCCTCCTCCTCTCCTCCTCTTCCTCCTCTGTTATTTGCTGTAGTTTTGGAGCCTGTCCTGGAACTAGCTCTTGTAGACCAGGCTGGCCCTCAAACTCACAGAGATCCTCCTGCCTCTGATTCTAGAACTTCTTAAGGAAGGCAGGGTTTATTTTATTTTGCCTCACGGTTTTCTTTTGTTCGCTTCCTTTGTTTTTAATGGTTATTTATTTATTTTTAATGGTTATTTATTTAATCAAGATGAGTGTGACATACTCCTTTATTCCAGAAGAGTGTGTCATATCCCACCATAGATGGCTGTGAGCCCCCTTAGGTTGCTGGGAATTGAACTCAGGACCTCTGGAAGAGCAGCCAGCACACTTCACCGCTGAGCCATTCTCAAGTGCTCTTGGCTCACCCTTTGACGGAGCACTTAATCGTGGCAGCTGCAGCAGGAGTGCCCTGAGGAAGCTAGAAGCCTTCCAGCTGCCTCTGCTGGTGCTCAGCTTGGTTTCTCCGTTTTATTCATCCAGGCCAGCAACCCGTGCAAGAATGACATGCACCTCTAGGAAGGGTTGCCCCTCCCCTGCTAACTCCACCTGGAAACTTTCTTAAAGACACAGCCAGGGTCTTGTCTCCTAGGTCATGTCAAGTTGACAATGAGCACTACCAGAAGAGGTCGGGATGGAGAAAGAAGGTGTCCTAGTTAGGGTCTCTACTGCTGAGACAAAAGAAAGAAATTCAGTTACAAAGGCACTAGTAGGTCTATGTGAAGAGACTCTGGTGGAGTAACTGAAAACAGCCAGTTATTTACAAGATACACAAGCAGGAACAGTGCACCTAGCCCAGCAGTGGCGCTCAGAAGCCGAAAGTGTTCTCTCCGTTGCAGACCACATACAAGAATCCATCTTCATCCTTTTTCCTCTGGTAAAGCTGCCCCAGAGTTAGGCTGGACTGTGTGACTGACTCGTCCACAAACAGGAAGACTGCCTTCTCAGAAGGAAGCCGGATCCTTTTCCTGATGATCCATATGAACTGAGCCACGGTGATGTCAGATGGAACCAAGAACCTCCTTTTGGCAATGGCAGCAATCTGAGTGCCTGAGACCTTTTCCACGATCACCAGAATCCGGGCGGGGTACTTCGCCCTGATCTTTGCAGATTCCACACATCTATGTTCCAGCCAGTGGTCCTCCTTAAACATCCACTTCATGGCGGCGGGAGGCGATGGGGGCCGGAGCTGCAGACTTCGGAGAAGCAACCACAACAACAACGGAGGCAGCGACAGCAGCAACGACTACTCAGCAGGCGGGACTTTGGCAGTCCTCAACCTGCTTTCTTATGGAACCCAGGACCACCAGCCCAGGAACAGCACCACCACCATAGACTGGGCCCTCCTTCATTGACCACTAAATGAGACAGTGCCTTACGGCTGGATCTCAAGAAGGCATTTCCTCAGCTGAGGTTCCTTCCTCTGATGACTTTAACTGTGTTGTGCTGGCACACAAAACCAGCCAGTACAGAAGAAATGGGGCCTAAGGACAGCCTTAGGGGCCTAGAAAGCGACAAGAAGGGCAATGGTATCAGATATTGTGTTGCTCTTTCCGGAAGATAGCAATCCAGTGTTAGATGCTGCAGAGACACAAATGACAAAGACCAAAAGTTTGAACCCGACAAACCTCTTACTACATCCAAAAGAACATTCTCCAGCAGGAAAACTTAACAGTGCCCTAGTAAGTGGACAGGAATAGCTTGTCATAGCAGAAGCAAGGGCCTCAAGCCAGCTTGACAAAAATCAACAAGACACTAACTGTTCCTTTTCTACTCCTGCTGTAGAAAATTATCACACCAGGCGGTATTGAAAACAATGGCTAATAGATCTGATAGCTGGGGGCTGGAGAGATGGCTCAGTGGTTAAGAGCACTGCTTGCTCTTCCAAAGGTCCTGAGTTCAGTTCCCAGCAACCACATGGTGGCTCACAACCATCTTTAATAAGATTTGGTGCCCTCGCCGGGCGATGGTGGCGCATCCCTCTTCCCTTCTTCCCTTTCTGAACAATTTGGTATGAATATGGAGAAAAGAGGGCTAAAATTATGTGTCATTAAAATAAGTTTTAATTGTCCAACCACATTAAGAAGAAATGCAAATAAATATAGAAAAGGAAGAAAACATGATCGATATATTTTCTTTTTTTGAATGTTCTTCATAGCAATAACAATAATTTTGACATGCTATAGTGTGAATTCTAATTTGTGCTAATAATAAAAACCCAGAGTCGGCTATTAGGGGGTGAAAGCTGAAAGATCAGAGAAGCAGAGCAGCCAGCCACTAGTTCTTACCTCTATGAAATCCTCAGACTGAAGTGGCAAGATCCTGTCTCTACGAATCCTCAGATTGAATTCAGCCTTGAACACTGTCTCCTCCCACCTTATATTTCTCTCTCCACCCAGTCATATCCCTTCCTGTCTCCACCTCCCTAGTGTTGTGATTAAAGGCTTGTGACTCACAAGTACTGGGATAAAAGGTGTGTGCTACCACTGCCTGGTCTCTATGGTTAACTAGTAGGCAAGCTTCAAGCTTTATTTGTTAAATCACAAACAAAATATCACCACAAAGTGTCACATGGCACATTTGTAGCACAGGATGAATGAGTGTTTTTCTAAACACTTTAAAATATTGCTCAACAAGCAGGTAAGTAAAACATGACTCACATGTAATCAGCTGTTATTCTGCCTCGCAGAAGAAGAGATTAGTTACTTGTCCTGTTTGCTGCAACAAAATATCCCATGAGAGCAACTGAAGGAAAGGGTTACTTTAGTTTATTGCTCCGGTAAACTGAGGAACATTATGACAAAGAAGCAGGAAGTGGCTGGTCACATTGAGTCCAAACCAGGAAACAAAGAACATACATTTATGTTGGCAGAGACTGCTCGTTTGTTCCTGGCTGCCCAGACTCGAAATAACCACACGGAAATCTGTATCAATTGCAATCCTGTTTGGCCAATAGCTTAAGCATATTTTTGGCTAACTCTTATATTTTAAATTAACCCATTTACATTAATCTGTGTATTGCCACATGGCTGTTGCTTACCTGCAAGATTCTGGTGTGTCTGTCTCCTGTGGGCAGCTACTTGGCTTCTCACTGACTCTGCCTACTTTCTATATATCTCTTCCACCCTGGCTACATTCTGTTAGCAGCCTCTTTATTAAGCAATAAAAGCAACACATATACAGAAGGACTTCCCACACCAGATTGACTCTCTCTTTTAAGTCAGTCCAGGACCCTAGCCCATGCAATGAATCATATCTACTTAGGGGAGTCTTCTACCTCAATAACCTAGTTTAGAAATCCCTCATAAACGAAAGTGACCAAAGACTTGTATCCTTGCTAAAGCTGACAATACCAACCAGCAGAGAGGGAAACTTTAAAACCTGAGCACGACACTGGGGATCCTTGCAAACACTACTCTAGGTGAAATAAGCCAGGCATATAGAGACAACTTTTTTTGTGGTGATTCCACTTACACCAGGTACCATCCGTCAAATCCATAGAATGAGGAAGTAGGACAGAATTTGTCCCAGGCACGCAGGAGGAGAGGCCAGGGTATCAGTGTCTAGGAGAGCAAGGCTCCTGTCTGTGATGATGATGGCTTTGGAAATGACCAGTGGTTAACAACAGTTGTATGCATGGCTGTGATGCCGCTCAGCTGTGCACTTAACAAGAGACTAAAATGCTAAGTTTTTCACATATATTTTGTTACATATACACAAAAAAGCATTCAAAATTTTCAGTTGTCTTTAAAATAGATTAAACCACTAATAGATGAGTTTGACCTAAAAATATACCCGACTGGAGAGGCCATGACTTTGGTCTGGTCTGCCTGCAGGCCCATCACATCGTCTATAAACCACTGTCTGGTGTTGTTTGGGCTCATAATTTCGCAATTCCTTTCCTTTTAATACATGTCATTATCTGTGGTGTGTACACTATATATCAGTGAAAAGGCCTATCACGAATTATTTACCACCCCACTGTTGTCCTTTTGTATAAGAGATTTCTTGTATTATAAAACACAACTGTAAACTTATTTTTCCATGAATCTTAGATTTTTTTTTTTTAAATCGCATCAACTTTTACAGAAGGATCCAGATTTCATGGAGTAGAGGAGTCTGGGAAATAGTGGGGGAAGGAGACTGGCTGAAGGTTGCAAGGCATGAGATGCAGGGAGGAGGGGATGGGCATTAGAAATATAGCCAGGATGCTTCCTGGGAAAGGAAATGCAGGCGGAAAGCATCAGGGAGGTGGGGTGTCTAGATGGTGCGACATCAGAATCTGGCTTCAATTCCCTTCTCTGCTTCTGGCACACAGGTCGTGAAGTGGGGAGGTGACGAAGGCAAAGTCTGTCCAGTTGAGCTTATTGAGACTCAGCACAGGTCAGAGCCCTCCTAGCACAGAGCTGCTGACTAGACACCAGGTCTCCTAAGGAGATCTCTCCTCCTGTCTGAATGTGGGAAGCCACAGGCTGTCCTTAAGTGCACAAGGAAGCAATTGGTGGCGATTTCAGAAATTTTGGGTATTCTGGAACTTAATAAACTTTAAAAATTCCTGCTTCACATCTCTCTCTCCTCTTTGAAATACAATTCCCAAGGCATGACATTTGACACCATTACGCTGATTAAAGTCATTTATGTTTTATTACACCAATCCCCTCTGCCTTCACTGACAGTGTCCTTTCAATTAACATGGTTCAGGCAAGAAATCTCAGTACTAAAGAGGTGAAGCCAGCTGGCTTGTAAATTCCAAAAGAAATCAGACTACATGGCAATTCCTTGTATTGGACAAAAAGACACAGCCATTGATGGTGGCTTGAAGGTGTTATCCCAGAGCTTAGAACGCTGAGGATCTGAATTTTTGATTTCTTTTTGTTTGTTTGTTTTCTTTACTTTTCTTTATTTTTTCTTAATTTTCCAAGACAGGATCCCACTAGATAGGTCAGGCTGTCCTGGATCACACGATAAAGCCCAGGCTGTTCTAAACTCACAGAGATCCACCTGCCTCTCCCAGCTGCTGGAGTAAGGCATGGACCACCATGCTAGACAGAGGATCAGGATTTTAAGGACAGACTCGGCTACACAGCTGTTCAAGGCCAGGTGAGGTTACAGCAGACCCCGTGTCTCACAAACCAAAGAGGAAAATTCTCATGACTCTGCTCCTCAGCACTTCAGATTGTCTCTGTGATGGACAAAAGTTCCTTTCAACCCTGGCCATCACTGCTCATTCTCAGATGCAGTTTGCGACTTGAGATCTTTGAGTTCAGGACATTGTATTGTTTGTTCCCGATGTCTGTGGATAATGTGACTCAAAACAAAGAATAAGTTCTCCTTTCATGGATAATGGGAGGAAGGAAAATGACTTAAAGAATGAAGGGAATAAGAGAGTGGGAGCAGACAGTGAGGGAAAACTTTGGGATAACTTTGGAATGGATATACAGAGGACCTACATATAGGTGGTCTGGCTACTTCTAATCTCCAGCTACACAGATGCCTGGTCCCCACCCACAAGCCCATGTCCAATAACCACCTTACCACTCCTAACTCCAATAAAGTGTCACTGAGTTGCAATGTCTTATTCTTATGGGAAAGAGACTAACCAGGAAGTCCTCGTGAGGCAATCGAGTGTGATAGTCCAGATCCCCAGCAGCACGGTCTCCAGAAAATAAAAACAAGAACATTTACCAGGAAGAGACTCTAGGGGACACACGACAAGGAAATAACTCACATGTCGAGGTGTAATGACCTCTTTGTTTTAAAAGAATTACTGAAGAATATGAGCAGCTCAGAGTAAAGGAGGTAAAACAGTCACAGACTGAAATCCTCATTACTGCCCAAACCCTGAACCCAACTTCCAGTGAGACCGTAATTGAGTCAGTAAGACCATATTCCTTCCTAAACCATGTGTCCAGTATCTGCACCAGTACTGCCCAAGGGGGTATTTAACAGTCAACCGTGATCCATTATCATTGGAGGTCAGTAGAGTCATACTGTGAGGCCAAAACAGGAACTATATATCTCACTAGCTAAGGGGTCTGTTTGCAGTTAAGACAGTTAGGAGTGAGCTCTTGTTCATCCTTTCTCAGCAGATTTCAGCTTGCATCACAGACACCATATAGAAATCGACTGTGGACTACAAATTGCTCCAAGGTGCTGTGAGCATGGACTTGCTGAAAACTGATGTGCCCCAGTCCAGCTGATGAGATTGCTCCATGTTTGTTTAGCTGGGTCAGCTCAGCAGATGCTTCTGAAGAAAGCCTATTCCCTGAATCCCCTCCAGGCCTTTTGCTGGTATTCCAGCATTCCTGGGCCTTGATAATGAAGTCCTGTTTATAGCAGGAAGTAGTTACAGAAGAGAGTATTTGACCTTTTGTCCTCAACAGACTGGATTTTGGGCAAAATTGTACATCCCTGTTAGGGGACAAAATGTCTGCCTTGACCAGGCGATGGTGGTGCCTGCCTTTAATCCCAGCACTCGGGAGGCAGAGGCAGGCGGATCTCTGTGAGTTCGAGACCAGCCTGGTCTACAGAGCTAGTTCCAGGACAGGCTCCAAAGCCACAGAGAAACCCTGTCTCGAAAAAAACAAACAAACAAACAAACAAACAAAATGTCTGCCTTGGCATACATGAAATATAGCTGTTAAAACCAAATATGCCCAGATCCATCAATAGATAGATTCATTTTCTGAAGTAGTTCTGCAATATGATAGGTCTTCAACCTACTCTATATAAAAAAGGAAGTAATATATGGAAATAAAATAAAAGTTTTGTTATTATACAAATATGCTCAGGAATCATTAGATATTCTTTGCCTATATTTAAAATTGTTGCAAAAGGACATGGTCAACAAGACAAAATGACAGCCTACAGAATGGGAAAAGATCTTCACTAACCCTACATCAGACAGAGGTCTTATCTCCAAAATATACAAAGAACTCAAGAAATTGGTCATCAAAAGAACAAATAATCTGATTTTAAAAAAATGAAGTAGAGACCTAAACAGAGAACTCTCAACAGAGGAACCTAAAATGGCTAAAAGACACTTAAGGAAATGTTCAACATCCTTAGTCATCAGAAAAATGCAAATCAAAATAACTCTGAGATCCCATTTTACACCTGTAGGAATGGCCAAGATCAAAAACACTGATGACAACTTATGCTGGAGATGTTGTGGGGAAAAGGGCACACTTCTGCATTGCTGGTGGGAGTGCAAGCTGGCACAACCACTTTGGATGTCAGTGTGGGTGGCGATTTCTCAGAAAATTAGGAAACAACCTGCCTCAAGACCCAGTAATACCATTTTTGGGTATATATCCAAAGGATGCTCAGTCGTGCCACAAGGACATGTGCTCAACTATGTTCATAGCAGCTTTGTTCGTCATAGCCAGAATCTGGAAACAACCTAAATGCCCCTCAACTGAAGAATAGGCAAGGAAAAATGTGGTACATTTACACAATAGAGTACTACACAACAGAAAAAAATAACACCTTGAATTTTTCAGGCAAATGAATGGAGCTATAAAACATCATTTTGGGTGAGGTAAACCAGACCCAGAAAGACAATTATCACATGTACTCGTTCATAACTGGTTTTTAAACATAAAACAAAGAAAACCAGCCCACAAATCATAGTCCCAGAGGACTTAGACAACAATGAGGACCCTAAGAGAGACTTACATAGATATAATCTACATGGGTAGTAGAAAATGACAAGATCTCCTGAGTAAATTGAAAACATAGGGACCTTGGGAGAAGGTTGAAGGGGAGGGAAGAGGCAGGGAGAGGAACAGAGAAAAATGTAGAGCTCAATAAAAATCAATTTAAAAAAGGGAAAGAAAACAAAATTGTTGCAAAAAAAATAGGATCCAAGATGAAAAATGACTAGTTTCCTTTCTCTTGGTCACTCTGATTTCAGACATCATAGGATTCCTCTCTTTCTACGAATTACTAGTAGCCTTTCCATCCTTAATACTTTAATTCGTCACATAAATTCCAGTCTTAGTGCTGTTGAGTGCATGGTTATTTGATCCCAATATAACCAAAAGCCTACTACAGAATCAAGAATTTTACAGGATACAATTGAGGGGGGATGGGAAATAAAAACAGAAACACTATATCTTTCTAGTTAAGGTTTCTCTTTGAAGTTAAGACAGTTAAGAATAAGTCCTGGTTGGTCCTGTTCAGGTTAATGTTTCTTTTGGTAATTAAGAATAGGTTCCTGTTTCTTAAATCTGATGTAAATGGAAAACATGCTTTTAACTTACACTAAACCTGCAACCCCACCTACATGATGTGTATCTTTACCCTTGTTCCTTCCTGAACATTGTACTCCTCTAACAAGGCATAAGAGCTAACTTTCCTGCCCCTGTAAACATTTTACCTCTCCTATAATAGAAACTTCAAAAGGCCAATAAGGGCTGCTCTCTAAACTCCTGACTTAGGGAGAGACAGCCATACCGGCCAGTTCTGGGTGTACCCCAAAATAAAGCTTCTTTTACCTAGACAATCTTAGATTCAATATTAATCCTCACAATTCCAAGGTTTAGAAGAACCCTCCCAGTAGAGCAAGGGAACTCACCAGGGACTATTAGGCTCTTGGGCACATATAAGTCCTGGTTTTCAGATACACTGACCTCTCTCTCTTATACTCACTGTGGTCTGGCCTAAGCTCTCTCTCTCTCCTGTTAATTGCCAGCAGCTACCTCTTCCCATCTGGGGTTGCTGTATCATGTGAGATTATACTGAACACCTGGTAAAGAGATGGCCAACATTCCATGACCACAAATGCTCATCCTACCTTCTGCCTGGGCCCTGGTTTCCTAAACATTTCAAAGATGAAAAGCTGACCTTCCACAGGCCACCAGAATATCTGACTTGTTGGTGTTCCCTGACGCTCCACAGGCCAACAGAGCCATGAAATATGATTTTAGCAATACCATGAGCTGGTCCTGAAACACAGTCAATATTAAAAGTTACTTAAAACTATAATTAAAGATATTGTGTTGAGATCAAAGACAGTGTGGCTGGGAATGCAACTCAGATACACAGCACCTGACTAGACAGTGTGCGTGAGGCATAGAATTTGATTCATAGCATTGAATATTACCCCTCAAAATAATGGCAATGAATGTTCAAGTCTCTTCAAATCCTGATTATGTGACCAGACTTTATTGTAGTCTGTGGCCTAAAGGTTTCATTTGGTGAAAGACCATAGAACAATATGCAAGCTCAGACCGTCTTTGGTGACACTTCATGACTATCATGACCTTGACACTGAATGGTATATTTATAATACAACTATCCAAATGAGATAGTTGATGCCTCGTGAGATTCGAGTTGCTTGTGAACTTGTGAATTCGAGGCCAGCCTGGTCTACAAGAGCTAGTTCCAGGACAGACTCCAAAGCTACAGAGAAACCCTGTCTTGAAGTACAATTCCGGAGTTAGTATATGAAATTGTTAACCCTTTCTTGCTCACTAGGATGGGAGTGTGGACCAAGGAGACCTTTGATAAACACAGTGTGGAGCCGAGTGCCTGTTTGGTGACAGGCGTGATGCACAGGCTGTAGGTTGGAGACAGAACACAAAGGGAGATGGACTTCCGGCGGAGGCAGAGTGGAACTCAGGTGTGATGTGTTGCGTTTGCCTTTGCTGTGTGGAGCTCAGAGGACAGGTCTGGACTGGAGACTTGGTGTAGGGCTGGCAACTGTAGCCATGGGAGTCGCTGAAATAGGCTCTGGGGAACGGAGTCGTTCAGATGCAGAGAACGGTGGTGACACAGCTTCCCACATTTCCCCACTTAAGCTACAGTCAGTTCTTCATATATAACGCCCTATGTCGACAGCTACTAAAGAATTCTATATCCCTCATTGCTCCTTGCAGCTTCGTGAGGCTGAGGATGTGAGGATCTCACATCACATACTCTGCCCTGCTTGGGGGAGGGGGGGCGCCTTAACTGATGACCTCACGGAGGATGAAGGCTACCCAGGTCGCCCGGTCCTTGGCGCGTAGATCCCTCCCCACAACAAGGCTTTCTGGTCAGTTCGCTCACACCGCGGTCATCAAGCCAGCTGGAGCAGGCAGTGGCGGGTCAGCAGGCTCTGGGTTCGGTTGTAGACGTCGTCCAGTACTCGGGCGGCCTGGGCCAGGGCCACACGCGCATCTGCCTGTCTGGTTCCGGGACACGCCAGCTGGAGCAAGCAGCCGCGACTCGGGAGGGCGAGGATGGCCAGGCAGGCGGCCTGGCGGATGAGCCATGGGTGGTGCTCGGCCAGCGCGGTGCTGTAGGCGTCCCCGCATTGCACGCCCGCATCCGGACCTCCGAGCGTCCCTGTCGCCACCCTGTGGAGGCAGAGCTGCGACCAGCGCAGCGCGGCGCAACGAAAGCAGCAGCGTTCGAGAACCCGAGGCCCTGGCTTGGTCCCGGGGCGCGGTCCCTTGTAGCTCCAGTAGTTCTGCTTGCCTCTCCCACGTCGCCATATTAGCCAGCGACTCGTAGTGCAAAGCAGCTGGGCCAAGTATGCAAACCTCGAGGGTGGTCACCTTGACGAAGGCCTCACTGGTGGCAAAGGGGAAAACAGAGCCAAGCGGGGTTAGGAACCTGTTTGGTGGTGGAAAGGTGGAGATGACTTGAGAAAGAGCAATCAATCGTTTGGAAGACGGCTTTGGGGAGGGAGACCACTCACCTGAGTAGTTCCCTCCATCCTGCCAGATACTGAGACAACTCCACATCCCCTTCGGGGCTCAAACAGGCCAGGAAGGGGCTCATCATGCGACCCAGCACCCCTTGAGGCCCCAGACAAGGAGGCTCTTCCTTCCCCGGGACCACCAGGGCTGTCAACTCTGGACTGATCTGGGAGGTAGGCATAAGAGAGATGGGTGAAAAGTTCCTAACCTGCTTGACCTACTATTGGGTTCTGAAAAAATTGTCCCTCCGGTTTAGCCGGGTTTCCTCCTGGTTCTTCTTATCATCTGAAGGGAGAAGGGACCAGAGAGGAGCCTCCTTTCCTTAGCTTCTCAGTCTGGGACCCCTGTTTTCTTGTTCAGAGTCCTCAGACTCTGGCCTTAACTCAAACGTACCTGGGAAGGTAGAGGTCCCTCTGGGTTGCCGGACTGCAACCCCGGCCTGCAGCCTGTCAGGATACCAGAGGTGATCTGAAGCAAGGCAGTAAGGGCTGGAGGAGAAGGGGGCTTGAGTTCCCACAGGCTGGACTGCTGACTTCTCTGAGCCGGTAACACAAGAGGCCACTCATGAAAGAGTCGCACACTGGTGTAGAGAAATAACAGCGTGAGGATAGCGAAGGGAAGTGCATGGCAGAACCAGCGTCCCCGGGCTGGGGATGTCAGTGAGACCCCCATGACCTTTGCTGGCACACCTCACCTAGCTGGGTGGTGGCTTTTGCCTCCTGTGGTGTCCAGAGGTGCAGATGGTTAATAATTAATCTATTAAGGCCCCCTCCCCTGTGGCCTTTGCCCCAGAGGTCAGAGCCTGGTGTGAGAACCTAATGAAGATCTGGGGGATTTAGCATGTGACATGTTACCTTTACATGTGGGACTAACCTGTAATAAGAGGAAGCCTCTCATGGGTCCTACTTTAACCCTGGGCAAGAATTCATTAGACCCTGAGGATACTGGGTCTTTGTAAATCTCATGTGGGGACTGAGTAATAACACTGTGACTGGAAAAGCTGATCCCAATTGCCCAGTAACTCTTGCTGGGGGGCGATAGCAGCGCTCTTCTTTTACATTCTTATGATTTAATTTTTGGTTTTTTTTTTTTTTTTGAGACAGGATTTCTCTGTGTAGCTTAGGAGCCTGTCCTGAAGCTCACTTTGTAGATCTCTCGAACTCACAGAGATCCACCTGCCTCTGCCTCCCGAGTGCTGGGTCTAAAGGCATGCGCCACCACCTCCTGGCATGATTTCATTTTTAAGCTCCACATTAACTTTTCCTTCACTAAAACAATCTTTACTCTCTACTACCATGGCAGGCCCTATACTAGATTCCCCATAATATAAAAGTGTTTTCACGGCTGGCCATGGTGGCCCAGGCCTTCGTGTAACCTTAGGTATTTGGGAGGCTGAAGTAGGAGTATCAAAAGCACAAGGCCAGCCTGCGTTACTTATCCACACTCTGTCATAAAAAATTTTAAAGTGTGAAAAGGGCCATTCCTACTCCAATAGCAATGTTTAGAGATGCTCACAACTGCCCATCATTTGACATGCCATTATAGGTCTCTCTAAACTACAGACTAACGAAAATGGCTATCTGGAACTCCTGGTAACAGAATTGTTGATCTTTATTCCAAGAAGCTTGGGAAGGCACCAAAATCCATATGTGGTGTGTGTCCAAGCAGACTTTGAGGAGTTTGTGCTCTGAGACCTAAAGTCCTTATGACATTTCCTACAACAACAATGCTAGCAGGGTATAGGGTTTTTCCACTTGTGGTAAATGTGTTCATGACAGAATCTAGTGAATGTTCCTTATTGAGGAGCAGAAAACCATTGTTGAAGGCACAAATACAGGTCAGAAAGCTAAGTAAATATTATGCTTTTTTGTTTGTTTTTTCAAGACAGGGTTTCTCTCTGTAGTTTTGGCTGTCCTGGAACTCACTCTGTAGACCAGGCTAGCCTCGATCTCACAGAAATCTTCCTGAGATCCTACTTCTGTCTCCTGAGTGCTGGTATTTAAGGCGTGCGCCACCACTGCCCAACTAATATTAAACTTTTTAAGATAATAAAAATCAAACCTTGTTCTGTGAAAAAAACATTCAAAATAGTTTAAATTTTTTAAAAAGTATCAAAAGGCTTAGGAGTTTAGTTCAGTGATAGAGTGTCTTTCTAGTGCGTGCAAGACTCCAGGTTCAACTCCCAGTACTCTGTGTGTGCATGTGAGTGTGTATGTGTGTGTATGTGTGCATGTGTGTGTGTGCATGTGAGTGTGTATGTATGTGTGTATGTGTGCGTGTGTGCGTGTGTGTGTGTGTGTGTGTGTGTGTGTGTGTGTAGCACAGCTCAAGCTGCACTGGGAGCATCTTCTGTCTTTCCCACTGGAATGCGAACTTTGATGAAGACAAGTGCCTTCTCCCTCTGTGTATTCTGAAGACTGAACCTGTGATTTGCATGTGCCAGGGAAGCACTTAGTCTTGAGCTGTAGCATCTTCAAATCTCGCTTTCCCCCCTTTCCCCTTTTATTTTTGAGATAAGGTCTAAACTGAGCAGGTTGATTCTTTGATTTATTTGCTTCTTTGAGACAGGGTCTCTATCTGTAGGCCTGGTTTATTGATTTATTTGAGACAATGTCTGTCTATAGCCCTGACTGTCCTGGAACTTACTCAATAGATCAGGCTGTTCTTAAACTCACAGAGATCTTCCTGCCTCTGCTTCCTGAATGTTGGGAGTAAAGGTGTGTATCACTATGGTCCACATCTCAGGTTGGTTCTGAACTTTCTATCCTAAGCTTTCTGAGCCACTGCAATCACACACAGGCTGGATCCACCAGGCCTGGTCAGGCACCTTACTTTTCTTGGTCATTTTAGACATTGGAATATTGTTTGCATCAAATGCATTATAAATAAATAAATAACTATTCGTTAAGGAGAGCAATGTGTCTAAATGAGGCCAGTAAATCAGAGATGGTCCCTGCCCCCAGACAAATCTAGCATGTTTTGTTTTCTTGTTTTATGAATTAGGGGTCCATCTACTGGTCATAGGAGGGAAGGCATTCCGGGAAAGGAGTGGAAAAAAAAATATAAGCAAGCCAGGGCAAAGTGGGTGTAATCCCAGAACTCAGGAGCCTGAGGCAGAAGGATCAAGAGTTCCAGGCCAGTCTGCGGTATACAGTGAGCTCCAGGCTAGTCTTGGCTACACAGTAACCCCTATCTTAAAGAATATCAGAAGCAGGGGAAGAGCAGCCCCATTTGTTCAGTTACCTCAGTCCCTGTTCTTAAAGTCTTAGAATTATTCACAGCTCACTGGATATGGTGCCCCCTGTTGCTAATCCTAGCACTTGGGAGGTCTAGGCAGAAAGATTCTGGAGAAGGTCAGCTTAAGGCAACCGTGCTTGGGCAACCTTGCTCGGTGTTTTATGTTAACTAAAGAGGAGGGAATCTCAATTTTAAAAAGTCTCAACTGGGTGGTGGTAGCACAGGCCTTTAATCCCAGCACTCAGAAAGCAAAGGACGGCGGATATCTGTGAGTTCGAGGCCAGCCTGATCTACAGAGGAAGAGAAAGTTCAAGGACAGGCTCCAAAGCTACACAGAGAAACCCTGACTTGAAAAGCTGCTCTTCCAAAGGTCCTGAGTTCAATTCCCAGCTACCCACATGGTGGCTCACAACCATTTGTAATGGGATCTGGTGCCCTCTTATACACACAGACAGAATATTGTATACATAGTAAGGAGGAAGTAGAAGAGGAAGTTGAAGAAAAAAGTAAAAAAGTAGAAGAGGAAGTACAAGAGGAAGAAGTAGAGGAGAAAGTAAAAGAGGAGGAAGTAAAGAGAAAGTAGAGAAGGAAGAAGAGGAAGTAAAGAGAAAGAAAATTACTGCCTCATGTAATTAAGTAAGATTAATCAATAATTGTAACACAATTAATAATAGCCCAGAGACAGAAATTGGGGTTCAACTTGAAGCAAAACTGGCTCTTATCTCTAACTCAGTCTGCTTTTAGGGCAAACTAGTGTGGCTAATGGGATTACAGGTGTGTTTCACCACTATCTGGTCTATAAGGCTGACCAGTGAGGCTGTTTCACTTTCTGAACTTCAGGCAAGCTTTATTTATTACAATACAAATGAAATATCATTACAAATGCCATATGGGGAATAAAAAATCAAGGAAATGTCTCCAACACCACAGAGCTAAATTGTAGTTGAGAAGATCATACATGCCGGTTCATGAGGTATTTGTTAGTTCTTACTGATAAGATAGGTGTTGAGAACTAGGGCTATAAAGAGAAGAACATCAGCTGTGCCCTCTGAGACCCTACCAGGACCAGTGAGTAAAAGGGGCCATACAGGAGGACGGAGGGCAAGTGGGAGGGGCCATACAGTGAGGGTGGAGGAGGGCAAGTGGGAGGGGCCATACAGGACTGAAGATCCTGGTATGTATCAACACCCAGTTGTTTGTTCCTACTGTTGCAAAATGATCTGGTGCCCTGCTTCCATCCATGCAGAAGAACCTCAGCTAATGTAATTCATGGCTATTTTCCACTCCCTCCCTTTCCGCTCTCTGACTTTAGTAGGACGGAAATAGGGAAGTGATATAAATCTTCTTCCTTATTTTAGGAGGTAGAAGCCCAAGAAACAGATGTTCTAACTCTGCTCAGCACCGTTCCTCAGCTTCTGCCATCATGAATTCCTGAGGTATGTCAACTTAAAGGGAGAAAGGTTGTTTGGGTTCACAGCTTTAGCTCCAGGTTGTGAGGATGAACAGCATGGGGTTGGGAACATGAGGTGGAGCCAGCTGCTCCCTTGCGACTGTCAGGAAAGAAGCAGTGGCAGCAAGAGAGAAATAAACAGGGACATACACACTACCCCCCTCCAGGACAAGTCCCAGTGACCCACTCTCTCCATCCTGCCCCAACTCCTGAAGTTTATCCCACCTCTCAATATCTCATTAAGTTATGCTCCCTTCAGTGGATTAATCCATAGATGCGATCATAGCCCTGACAATCCAATAACATTCAAAGGTCTGTCTCTGGACACTGCACAGGAGTTTAAGGGACATTTAAGACCCAAGGATACCACCAGCAGTGCCCCCCATGTGGGAGCTTAGTCCCACGTCTGAGGTTCACTTACTTGAACTACCTGGTTTATGACTAACTTTTTCGGTAAGTCAGACATTTGCCTGTGACCA